GTCCCATAATACAAAGCCAGGAACAGCTGGTTGGCACTCTGTGGTGAGGACAATGTCTGTAGCTGTCTCTGTCCCATGTGGTGCGTGAGGAGAGTCTGGAGTGCCCTTGTGAAAGTGCTGAATGTCCTCGAGGTAGGCAGAAATATGAGATTTCCCAGGCAGGCATAGGCAGCTATGATTATAACACCTGCCACCTGGAGCAAAGAAAATAGTGAATCTTGCATTTTGGAAAATATTTGCACGTCAAATGACAAAAAATATATTACAGGGTGAGTTTAACCGAATATTTTTTTCTGAGTTTTTGGCCTGGCCACAGCACAAGCTACCTGAAAAATGAATGCGTGAGCTTGTAAGTCTCATTGTGAGTGAAATACTATTTAATTTATTTGACACACATGTATGCAGCTGGGCGCTGTAGCAATCCGAGTGAGGCATCATTCTCAGGGGTACACAGCAGTGCCTCACCTGAGATTTGAGCCCGCAACCAGGCCAGTATAAGGCAACAGCCCCAACTACTACCCGATCTTGCCAGTTTGAAAAAGTGAAGTGAAGTTATTAACTATGGGGAAAAAAAACGATGTAGCTAAAAGTGTTTTCTCTCCGGAGGTCGAAGTTCTTACCACAGGCCCTGTAAGACTAGAAAAGGACAGGCGCAGCGTTGTCACAGACAGGGCCATCAGTTTATTCACACGCAGCACGAAGACACATTTCACAAGGAGGAGGGACACCATCAGGCCATGCAGACCGCGCCTCAGCTGGGAACACAGAATCAAACACATGTGGTTTCTACCGGGTTTCAGTGAGCAATCTGCCGAGAGCCAGGAAACAAAGCTCTCGAGGAGGAAATCGCAATCGAGACTAAGAAAGACTAAGATTAACTGGTAACATGGTTTTCACACAATTCTCATTTTTAAAAATAAGTTGAAAAAATAAAAAAGGAGAAAGAAAAAAAAGAACCAAGGTTTTTAGTGTTCCATAGAAGAGCTGAAAATGTAAATCCATGGAGTTTTGAATTTGGACACTGGGTGCATTTTTCACTTCCTTTAATAAAAGAGCTTCCATAACAGCACTCATCTTGTAGAATCACTTCAGTCAGTTCATCTGCAGTCACGGAGAACAGAGGTGTGTTTGCCAACCTGTTCCCAAGATGAAAGGAGACTAAGATCCACAAAAGCCTTGAAGTTTTCCCTCTGAAGGTGGTCTATTGACTCGACGGTCAGAATGTAGTTATACAAGGAGCAGGCGTAGTAGAGCAGACTGATGAGGATGGCAGTGACCTGTCAAAAAAGAATGAGAAAAAGGTTTTTATTTTTAAACAATACCAACCAAAGTCTTAATGGTTTTCATAGGAGCTCAGGGACCCTGAGGCTCCTTGAATAAACCTGGCCTTCCCGGGCAAGAAATGAAGTGCAAACCAATGAGAGTGTAAAGACCGGCACATGCATACAGTAGCCAAGATGTGTTTATTATTGATTGCATTTATGTACTGCTCTGCATCCCAAAGGATTCCACGTACAGGATTTTGTCCCACGTGGACAAAACAGAGAAGGTCCAGAAGGGGAGGCAAATTGAATGTGGCTTCACAAGGCACTTGAGCCCAAGAGAAGCACAATGCAAACAAGAGCACTGCCACTTAACAAGTACAGATAACCCCTTCTCCAAG